AAAAGCTCCACACAACAATCTGCAACAACTAAACTTGCTTTTTGGCCAGTAGAAAAGTAATTTATTTTTCTGATCCACAGGAAAGAAGAAAGAATTAATGCAATCAAGACAGGTATCAGAACATCATCTCAAGTTCCAGGACGTCATTTTAGATCCTGGTAAATCATTCTTCAGATGCCACTGCATAAGAAGCATTTGATACTAATCTGTTTCTCTGACCTCAACCAGAACGCCAACAACGGTAGATGCCCCAATTTTCTGTCTGTTGGAGCAAATAAACATTGAATGGGTTTCGAGCAGTTCTCCAGTTTCAGGCAGTTGGGCAGCCCAATGCAAAATCACAAAAGTAGGTAAACACAATAGATTGATGCTGAGGATGTTTAGGGTAAGTGAGATCTTCTAGTTTGTACATGAGGCACCCAGGTAAATTAATAAGGGAAATTGACAATCATTTATACACGTCAGCATCAGCAGGCATCTCAGCAAAACTGTCGGTGAGAGGTTAAAGCTCATCTGCCACTGGGACAACCAGAAGCCAAGCTAAAATTATTCATTTTCAGACACTGTTTAGGTACTTTGTTCACTGTGGAGGCAAAAGACCTTCTTTTTTTTCTTCTTTTTAATTTTTTTTTTTTCCGCAGGCAGAAGCAATAAATCACCCAGGTTAAGAAGACCCAGCTAGCCCAACATAGATCGATTTCATGGGTAAGTCGATGGACTACTAATAGAATTACAACTACCTGTCAAAATAGGGAAAACCTATCTGTGACAGTGACAAAGGGCAAATCAATTGAAGAAGTGTTGTGGGCTCTCTTTACTTTTTTTTTTTTTTTGAGACATGGATGCAAAGTACAAGTGTGTCTTTCGAAGTCTACAACTGTGACAAAGAGCAATGTTTATCCCTTTTCGGGAGCCATCAGTCCTGCAATACTGAATTATGTGGTCACTTTATTTCTACTGCAATCACTAGGTTACTCCCATGAAACAAAGCTAAAGAGCTGCATCCAAAGCTATTTGAGCAGTTTCTCATGTATTATGAAAGCTATTTAAACAGGTTTTATTAACAGCTGTTATAATGTTCTCCAGGTGAAAAACCTTGGCACATTTTGTTTACCACAAACTGGTTTGTTTTTTTTCAATTAAGCACATGAGTTTTCCAGTTTCAGGTGTTTTTTAGTGTTTGTACAGCTTAAGCAGAAAATCAGTTACAACAATGTTGTTGGCTCAGAAATGGTGTTATAATTCGCTGTAATTAGATAAAAATTGAGTAAATGAACAGTAGAAAGTTGCTGCAACACAACTCTGCTGCCTGTATAGCATATATATAATATCTTACTTTGGTACTTTACCTATCTATGTTAGAGATTAAAAAAGTTATATGTAGTTGGAAATGTAACTACAGTATATACATATTGATGCAACAGTTTGTGATGGCTCTGCAGATATCATGGTTGAATACTGAAGTTGTGAGATATTTACCGAGTCATGCCAGCACAGGCTTCTGCTCTGCTGGTAAAGCTCCAAAACAATGAAAAAATAGCACAGGAAAATAAGTAGGGTGGCAGTCCTTATTATCCTCTCACTGCAGACATTCCTGGGTCTAAAGCTACCTCTGACTTTCCATGGAGAAGTCCACATATTTTTATGAACTTTGTATACATGAGCGAATGACAACTTGGAATAAAGCTGTAATCAAAATTAATTATCTGGGAGTCTTATCCCATTGCTTGGGTATATAAACTGAAGAGGTATAAGTCGTGGTTTCATTTCTTAGTGTATACCAGTTTTGACAAAGATCGGGTGCCAGAAAACTGTACTGCCAAAATCAAATAAAACAAACAGTTGCATTCTCCAAAATTCATTCATATAGTTTCTTTCAAATATATGTATATGTATACACATGCTGACTAAACCGGGAAAGCTTCCTTGAAGTCAATTGAATTTGCATTTAAATAGATGATAAAACTTCCATTGACTCCCAATGAGGGCAGGATTTCATGCAGTGCAATTAAACCAGACTATAAGAGGAGTCAGGGTTAAAATTCTCAGACCTGAATATATTACTTTTCTTACATTTCTTTGCTAGTTTTACCTATATAAAATCAATGCCCAGCTGTGCCCTTTATCATAGGCTGCAACTTCTATCGACTTTGTTGGGTCCTTCAAGCTTCCGTGAGTATGGCAACAGTGTCTCTGGAGGCAGAACTGTGTTTTAAATTCTTTGGAGCAAGGAATAAATCATAACATTAATCTTTTTGTAGAGCATTCTATGCATTTTTAACACTGTGATTTTTAATAGATAGTAATAATAGCAATTTTGAAGTACCCTGCAGATTCCAGTAAAGGACTTTTCTTCAGAAACACTATCCCCTGCTGCTATTTTGCAAATCTTCTAATTCATTACCACATGGAGTGTCCTATGTGTGCAACATTTTTTTACTTCAAAACAGATAAATCCATATATTTTACCAACAAAGGTTCCCTGACAGCATGTTACCATTTCTTCTGTGTGGGACTACAGCTACTTTAAATCATTTCCAAATAACGTTAGTGGATAATTTAAAGATAATGAATAAATAATTTATTTAAATTAAGCATTTAGATTAACCATCTGTATTTCTAAGCTTATAGATGCATACTAAGCTAGAACATTTTTCCTGAATAGTGTCTTCATGATATGGCTTATTCAGCGAGTCACAGAATTCCTCAGAAAGTCCCATCATCCTTTAGTTATATAGATGTGAGAAGTGTCTTCCCATGCCCAGCATGACATGGCTGTAGATCTTTGTGCTGTACAGACCTCAGGAGCCCAGCGGACAGTGACTGGACTGGTGGTTCACAGCTCCTATGGCAGGGCAAACAATGGGGAAGCTGCTGCTGAAGCTCTCAGAACAAATGGTATGAAGTTAGATCCGAGCACTGAGTGATGACAGTGAGTGTCTGTCTGCCATAGACCATGGCTCTTTCTGGAACCTCACTCACTTCAAAAGTGGGAAAACTCCAGGAAAGAAGGCAGATGGTCCATTAGTTTCAAACACATATATAAAAAACTAGGTAGCCAAAAGGGGTTTAACAACAGTTTTGTATTGAAACTTGGAAAAGAGCAAGTAATTAGGGCTTTGTCATCATGGCTTCAGAGTGCATCTGGTTTATGCAGCCCAATTTACATTGCATGTGTTGCTTCAACTTTGATCTATGTTTTATAAATTAAGGCTTAGAACTCAAATCCTTTCATGGGAGAGTTGCCATGAACTTTTAATGTCTCACAAATAAGAAAGATTGAAGGAGAGTTTGTCTCTCTAGAAGTGCCAGAAAATGTAGTTTTACATGTCTGAGGAAAATGATTAGGGAAATAGGTTATGGAAACACTGAATCCTAAAGTATTAGCACAACAAATACCCTGCCACCATGGGTCTGTGCCTCAAAAACTTGGCATCTTTGTGCAGGATTGTACCTGGGAGAGAAAGCTGCTGGGCATAGAATGTGTAAGCACTGCCTTCTGCTCAGTGTTCAATCACTCTTGTGGTCGTGTTTGGCCCATTTTTATAAACTATGTGTTTTAATAGACATTATGGACACTTGACTAACAAAGGTATTCACTTTTATTAAATAGAATTTCAGTGAAATATGTCTTGAGAGGATATATGACCCTTTTAGGACAGGAACAACTATTAGTTACTATAGAAGCCTAGAAAATATTTGTTCAGTGCTCTCTTAAGCACGTAGCCTGAATGCCTCACAAACACAGTGTCACCATTATAAATTAAGCAGAGACAAAGTGCCTGACTATCTTCTATTGTTCTGGTTTGATACACAAAGTCCTGTGAATCCCAGGGCTTTTCAGTAGCATCAAGTCAGCATAACACAGTGGAAAATCAGGTTGGAGGGGTATTTCTGGTATTTATTACCCCTTTTGAGAAGAGGTCATGCTTCTACTCCTTTGGAGGATTGTGCTTACTAGATCAAGTTTTAAAAACACCAATATTTTAATGTTTTGATTTAGCATGTATAGCATATACTGAAAATATACTAAAATACCAAGGGTAAAAAGCCTGGAATCAGCTTTTAAAAGAAATCTTTGGAGGCTATTGCACCATTCAAGGTCTCTGAGGTATTCAGCACTTGCAGTGCAGTTCTTACCAGAACTGCAGATTTGCACTGCATTTTGAAGGAGCTGAAGAGCTCTGTGTCTCCTCTATGTCAGCATTTGGCAGATGATCTAAAATGACACTAAGCACTGAATAATATCAAGTATATCTGAAGGATTTTAGGCATCTTATCTGCACACTCAGGTTTTTTTGGTCATTTCATTGCAATTTTCAGATGAAAATGAAATTAAAGACAAAACGAGGAAAGCATTATTTTTTTTACTACATTTTTCAATTGAAGTGCTACTTAGGAAAAAAAAACCCGCCACCTCATTCCACTGAAACAAAATTTAAAACAAGAAAAAAAGTATTTACATTTGAGCAAAATTAAAGTCCCCCCAAAAAAATTCCAAAACAAGGCAAAGTCATTCCAATTTATGTAGTTCAAGGTCTACTCACAATATGGAGAATTATTTTCTGCAAGATTTTTACTCTAATTCATTAATTTCTTCATAGACTTATAAACTGCACTAACTCTCCTGTGGAAAAATCAGCACTGTTAAGTAGCTCATGAGCAGATGTGATACAAGAAAGCCTTTGGATTTTTTTTTAAACTCAAAGAGTAATGACACCGCAATATCATGTGGTGAAGGAGCAATAATTTGATAAACATTGTCTTTCCATTAGATTAGAGCAATTAATCTGATTCTAATTTAGCTGAAACATTACCATACTGGAATCCCTAGAGCCCGATGAATAATCTCTAAACACATTGACACACTCAGCAGACAAACATTATCTCCACTCATACTGTTGTTCCATATGGTCTCCTCCCATTCTGATGGAGGGCACCCTGCTGTTTCAATCAAATAAATGTCAATTATCTGAGATAGATTTTTTTACTTCCCAGCAACAGTGGCTGTAGAACAATTGTCTGCAGTTCTTCCCTGATTGCTGCTGCCTCATTTTTCAGCTGCAGACCTTGCTGGATTGCAAAGCAAACTTTGTTGCATCATACACATTTTCAAAGTCTCTCTCTTGAAAATTGTAGGCACAGAAAATCATTTGTACCTGGGGAGAAAGCAACATAACATAGAAGAAATGGCAGAAGGGTTTGCCAGGTAGACTTCTTTACCCTATTAGTTGGGATGGTCTTTATTGCCTTTTCTATTTGTTGATCTAGCAGGGTGCCAAAACTCTATGTGACTGAAGGCTTCTTAGAAGATTTGATAGAATCTTACTCTTCTAAGGCAATATCTCACAGGCCTTTTGCTTCAGGGGGTTCTGGGCGCGCTCGCCACATCTCATGGGCTGTCTTGCACTTTTATTTGAAAAGACTATAAAAGAAGACAGGCTGAAAACTTCAAGCCCTTGCAAACCACAGTTTTGACCACTGCTACAAGGTTCAAAGCTCATCCAAAATATCTCTTTGGTATGGTAGGGCAGATTTATATTAGATATTAGGAAGAAATTCTTTACTGTGAGGGTGGTGAGGCACTGGAACAGGTTGCCCAGAGAAGTTGTAAATGCCCCATCCCTGGAAGTGTTCAAGGCCAGGTTGGATAGGGATCTGAACAAGCTGTTCGAGTGGGAGGTGTCCCTGTCCATGGCAGGGGTGTTGGACCCAGATGAACTTTAAGTTTCCTTCCAACCCAAGCCATTATATGATTCTGTGATTCTGTGGTAATCAGACTGTTTAGTATATTTGATGAGTGTAAGCCTTCTGGCTACTCTGGTGTCTAATGATGAGGCAGTGCTGTGCAATTCAGGTTGCTATCAGTAGAGATAAACTATTGCCATCATCAGAGAAAAACAGTCAGAGAATCTGAGGCAGAACCCTCTCAGTGGTGGTCTGATGCAGCACTTTGCAGGCTGCATTTATTATTATATTACACCATATGTGACCCTGGTTTTCTTCTCTAGATGTGTCAGATAATCCTATTGCACCTGCGCCAAGTTATGTGGCATTAGTTAATTACATAGTTCTTTATATAGATATGCAGCTTTAGGGAGGATGTCTGTATATATGTGTCGGAAACATAAGTTGGATCACTTGGCAATCTGGCAAGGAGAAAATTTTAAAATTGAAAATTCTGCAATTTTTCAATGATACTTGGCATTCAGCTTGATCTAAATGACATGGCCATTGTGAGAAGAAAAGTTTGTTGAATTTGGCCTTTGATCTGTGTGAGAAACCGCTCCTTTGATCATGTGCATGAGGGCCAGTGCAGCATTCCTCTAGCTGAGGAAACCTTTAGCTTGAATAAGTTTTTAGGCCCAGTAGACTGAGATAGTAAGTACAGTGTGCATAGGTTCTGAACAGCTTTAAATAATGACTGTGAAACTGGCCTATTTTGACTTATAGTATACCTGCTCTTCCCAGCTCCCTTCTCTGTTGCCTTCCTCAACAGATTCCCTCTAGCACCTATCACATAGACTTGAAATGATGTAATATCTTGCTGCTTAGAAAAAGTCTTATTTTTCAAGATGCTGGCTACCTTCCCCTCTTCCTAATATCAAATGGGTTCCCAAATATTTCAGTACCTCAGAAGCTAATTCATTCAACCGATTTCCACTAGATATTCTTCTTCTCTATCACAGGCAGCCGAAAACAGGACATCTGTCAAAAAAAGTGGTGTGATTTGCATGCAGCAGTTACCCATACATTCTCACAGAAGACAGGGCTTTCAAGAGAGGGATATGGTTACCAATTTCTAATGTAGAATTTTAGGCTATCTGTAATTGCATTTTGTAGAAATAAAAAGTGTCTCTTACTATGGATTTGGACATTCTGTCACCATTAATGTGCCAGTAAAGGTTTTGCTTGAGGACATTGTAGAACAACACACCTCTGTTAATGTTGCTGAATAAAACTATTAATATGATCAATTTGATTTGAAATGTCTCGTCTTGTAAAGTATGAGATCATTAACTTTAACAATGTAAGAGAGTTCTGACTATCATATTCAACTACATTAATGTCCAATGAATAGCTAAGACCTCACATTTCATAGAGAAAAGTATTAATGTACTACTGGATGTAAATAAACTGAGCAACATTCAAATGCTTCAGGAAGGATGTAGCTTACACTAGTACATGCCATAAAAACAAGGCAGTGAGAGACATGAGGCAGAGAAGGAAACAATAATGGTTCCTGTACTGAAGTCATGAGATAAAGAAAATGGTGTTGAACATCTGAAATTTGCATGTAATCACAGTGATATGTTGATTCTTAGGGTCTCAAAGTAAGCCATGTTATATAGTGATGTTTAACATTCTTATCTGTTGTGTTTCTGTTTGAATGATATATAATGAGTAAATGAGCACAAACAAAGCTAAAATTGGGGAAAGTAAAATGAAACACTTTGATAGAAATGGGATATTATCTTCAGTCAGAAGACCTGAGTTCTATCAGAAGTACTTTTCATGCAATACTTGCCTTTCCCCTTTCCATTAACAGTCTGCTCTGTGGTGGAGTCACCATACATGGAGGTATTTAAAAGCCATGTAGATGTGACACTTCGGAACATGGTTTAGTGGTGGACTTGGCAGTGCTGGATTAATGGTTGGACTCAATGATCTTAAGGTATTTTCCAACCCAAATGATTCTGTTGTTCTTGCTATTGAGCGACAAGGAATAGGATCAGGAAGTGCACAAAGAAGAAAGCCTACAAGTACCTCTGCATTAGCATTTTAGTTCAAATCAGGCGAGTACCTCTGGAGCACAAATCTTAATCTTTACAATTTACAATACTTTGTTTCACATTTTAGAGAGGTCTTGGGAGTACATGAAAGTAAACTGAAAGATGTGGTCTCAGTTTGCACCTAATTCACTCTGATCATGGCTGATCAAATCCATAGGAATAGACTGGAGCTAGTCAGAAATAAAATGCCCTGAAATTCTCACAAAATGTAAAGTGAGTCCTCAGCACTAGCTGTTTCACTCAACAAACCCTCCTTTATTGGGCTGCACTACTTGCTTGTGTGGACATAGTGGTGAAATATACTGAAGACTCCTTCCCCTGCACTGCATGTATGTTCTCACCCTAATACACTCTTGCTATATGAACATGTATGAATACTTACCAAGCCAATGATAGTTGTTCTGATTACATTTGGGAAGGTCATGATCTTAAGCCTGTTTTTAAAAACATCTGTGGATGCTCTGGTACTGGCAGTTCCAACAACTGAATTTAATAGTCACATGGGGCAGAGCCTTGTGTGGGCAGTGGGAGTACAGAAGGGGGAAGTAAGGAGATAATGGGAACTGAAAGTGTTATTTTTGAACTCGTATGGATGTGCTGTGTTTAGGGTTTTTTTATCCTTGCTCTGGTCCTCTGCCTAAAATAAACTCACACACCAATAATACTGGGAGCTGACTGTCCAAGTGGCAACTCTGCTGAAAAGGACTAGGTGGATGCCAAAATGAATAGGTGACAGTGCACCCTCATTGAAAGGGAGCTAGATCATGCAGGGTACATTAGGAGGAGTATGGCAGGTAGACTAATAAAAATTACTCTTCCCCAGTCTACTCTGGTGAGGTTGCACCTAGAACAAGGTAAACTGGTTGAAGGCCAATCACAAAGATGATACAACTGCAGGGCTTCACAGTGGTGGCAGGTTGTACAACCAGGAGCAACAGCCAAAGACTGCACTCACGTTTGTCATTAGGAAAGAGCTTTTGCTCTGAGTGTTGCACTGGAGTAGGTCACTTAGAAAGACTGAATCATCTCTAATGTTGGTTATTTGCCCATAGCTGGGCAAAACTAATCTAGTGTTTGTGGTGGACCTGCTTCAAGTGGAATGTTAGAGAAGATGACTTCTGGAGGCCCCTTCCAATCAGCATTATTCTGACTGTAGAATGCTGTGAATCAGACTTCAGTGAGTATCAGGGACTGACATGATAAGTAGATTTGTTAACTAGAACATTTGGCCTGGCCTGGCTTTGTAGAAGGTCACAGGTAGCATAAGCTGTTACACTCACTGAGGCACCAAAATCTGTAGCAGTTACCTGGGGAGAGTCTCTCCTTGAATCTAAGATTTCTTAGCAAGGAGGGGGGTAAAACTAAGGCAGAGAAAAATAGAGGGAGTGCCTTGGGGAGCCTGATTTATCATTGCTGAGAGGAAAAGAGGAATGGTAGTTGCTTCATGAATGAGGGCTGTCATTCTCCCACCTAGAAGTCGCTGCTGCCCTTCATGTTTCCAGCTGTAGTGACAGCAAAGGCTGAATTCCACCCTGGCAGCCTGCTGCCTGAGGCAGCTGCCTACATCACCTCACCTTGATGACTAGCTCTATTCAGGACATGCAAACTTGCTCCAGGGAACAGAGCAGCTGTACTCAAAATACTGAGCAGACATCTTCACCTCCACCTCAATACTGAAGGTTTGCCTCTTCCTCCCCATGGGGTGACTCAGTGGTACAGGATAGTAGCAGAGACAGGTGTCAACATGGCCTTAGTGAGACATCTAAATTTTCACAGCTTTACTGAGATACTGGGAGATAAAGCCACAATCTGGCCTCAGAAATGTCACACATATGGAATGGCAACTAGATGTGACCCACAGAGGTATAGCTGAGCAGATGTCTGCTTAAAAAGCAGCTGCCTTGGTGATGGCTTTTCTTCACTGCCTATGTCAGTTTTCTTGTCCAAAGTCAATGGGATCAGTGGCACTGAAATTACTCAGTACAATGTTTCAGTTCTGATTTTAAAATTAAAAAAAAAAAAGTAATTAAAACTTTTTTCTTTCAAGATAAATTTTTTTCAAAGTTTGACTTTTATTGAGGGTGTTTTTTTGTTAACATCACAATTTTGCTTATTTTTCTTAGAAATCAGTGACTTTTTTGTTATTGAGTTCCTTTCTGAGAGTTTTAGCGAAGCAAAAGAAACTTTCTGTGTTGTGTGACTGGAGAAGCAGGCTCCATTCACAACACAACAGTCTGTTAGCAAATGGTAAATATGTCCTATGGCTGTAAGAGTCTAAATGGATTTTTTCCCCGCGCTCTATTTTCAAGATGTGACAAAATTACTAGGTAGCCTATGTATCCAAAGTTAGAACTATACTGGGAGCTGAATACTGTCAGCAATACCAGAGAAGCCTGATTTTAGCTCCATTGCAACACAGAAGAGTTCTGCTTTCATGGTGCATTAATTCAACACCTGCAGGCGCTCTTTTCCCTCTCTGAAATTACAGGCTCTCTAACGAGTAGTTAAGGCTTGGGACTGAAGTGTAGAGTAAAGTCGTGAGGGCTTTATTGATCAACACAGTGACAGATCCTAATAGCTTGATGTAAGTTACAGATGCTCCCTATTGTTGCCTAAAATGGAGACAAAGGATGAAACACAGCTGAGATGTTTTACTGGCATATCCAGTTCTTAGAGTTCTTTGCTTTTAAAATAGAAGTTTCTTTAAATTCAAAATTATATGGTGCTCGAAAATGATCAGCATTCAAATCTGTTTGTTAGCTTATGCACTGAAATTGTAACTTTAAAGCCACCTTGGCCTCTCAAAAAGAATTTTGAAGCCCAGGACCACATGAATCAGACAAAAGCCAAACCAAAATATTTGCTTTTGTTGTGTGCATTAATATATTAAATTAGAAGCATTAGAGAAGCTTAGTTTAATTTGAAAATAGGCAATTGGCAGCATTGTTTGGCTGTTGGGCTACTGAACCACTCTGGTTCCTGTGCTGGTAGGAAGGGCTGGAAGTAACAGAGAGTCCAGAGAGGATGCCATAAATAAAAAAGACATTTATTTCAGTATCTTGGGTAAATGTTTAACGGACATAAAGAAACTGCTGTGGGGCACGTTAATATGCTTCAATAAGCAATGTTGTGTTGTTATTTCTTTGGTTTCCATAGCATGGCATGTAAGTTATAAGCTTTCTGCCTGGCAGGGTAGAAAATGGAACTGTTTCTGAACTCAATGGAGAGCAAGAGCTGCTACCTCATTCCAAGGGGGGATCCCACTCTTCTCCTGTGTCTGAAGCAATGGTGCTGTGGGGTTCTGCAGTGCCTCATACTACACTGACTTATGTCTCTTGACTGGTTTTCCACCTTCAGGCAGATAGTACCTCTCAAGGCTCTGTGCCTCATCAGAGCTTTGAAAAGGGAGCTGCTATATCACTGGTAGTGGGCGCTTGGTGGTATCAGGTCTCTGTGGTGGAAGATTGTGCCAAATTCCTGCCAGTGTTTGCAGTGAGGCAGTTACCTAAAAGTCTTGATGCTGTTCAGTTGCTCAGTGGAGATGTGCATATAGCTGCATGTAGTGTTTCACTCTGAGTGTTAAACAACTTGCACAGAGTTAGTGGGGACTAGTTGTACATTGTAAATTTAGGACATAAAAACAGACTATAAGAGCACTGAATGGGGTCGTACCTTATGGCTGTCTAGCTCTCTGTCCTGTCCCTGATAGCCATCAAAAGGAAGTGTGTAAGAAAGCGTATAAAAACAGGATGCACAATATGTGGTACTTCCCTAGGCATTCACCCTGCTTCCAGTAATTTGCAGCTCAGAGACTTCTTGGCCTGGAGATGTTTCTTTGAATTTATAGCCTGAAAATATTTCTGATCTGTGAACTTGCCCTACCTCTCCTTGAATCCAAGTAAGCTTTTAGCATCTGCAACATTCTATGGCATGGTGTTTGTCAAATGCGTGCACTTTTCTAAGGTCATAGCCTCAGAGGTCGGGCTGACTTCTTGTGTCAAAAAGATTCAGTCCCCCATTGTCATCACACCAGGATTGGACTCTAGAAACAGCTCTTTGGTACCTTCTCTCTGTACCTGTTATTACATGTTAATATTGATTAATGCACTCGCCACATATGGTGCAGGCACTTGTCTTACTTCTCATCCACCTGGGATACACATTAATCAACAGTACAGCATGGTATAGTATGTCATGTCTCATTGCTTAAACATTTTCCTATTCCCTTATGTTGTTTTTAAATTGAAGAAAACTGAGTGCTCAAACAGAAGTAATAGATCAGTGTAACTAGATTTGTCTTAATACACCCTAGATGAATTTGCCCAGAAGAGTTTAACAGAAAATCTTTTTCAGCATACAGAAACTTTTGAAGAGTTATATCACTGAGGATTGCTTTCTGCAGGGAAAACAAAGAAGGCCCTTTGTTCTGTTCGCATGTCTCCCACAAGATAAAGATATTATTTCTCTCCCATTAAAAAAAAAAAAAAAGTTTACTGGCTTCAGAAAGCCTGCATTTAAGTTTCCCAAACTTTTAGTCTCCAAAATAGTGTTCTGTAATTAGTTAAATATAAATATAGCTCTACTGTAGCTTAGTTCAGTTGAGCACAGTGATGGTGGCACTCAGTTTCCCCGATGTTAAGATACTAGAAGTCAGGTGCTTGGTCTAAGCAGCAGACTCTGTAATGGGCATAGAGGGATGGGTACCTACTGACACAGATTTATTTCACCCTGTGGTAGGTGTTTAAAATGAGCTTCTAGAGATGTCTTTCCTGCTCTATCGATTAGAGGTTATTGATTAATTGAAATCTAGTTTGGACTGCACATTTCCTATAGGAAAAGTTAGACCCAGGGACCTGGAGCTTAGAGAAGAAAGCAGCATGATGGAGAACAATTTCACTTGTGCTTGGTGTAACAGGCTTCAAATATATAAAAATTCATGCTCAGTAGACATAAAAAAATTGAATAAGCCAAATTTTCATAGAAGTCTAACACACAGAACACAAGACAAAAGAGCTCACAGGGCAAAGAGCAGGTCCTTCCAGTGTGAGTGGTTACTGGTGACTATTGCTCTATTAAAAGTCATATGACCAGTTCATACATCTAACTGATCATTAAATTGCTACTGTTGATGGTCTTAGTGTAAAGTGAGGAGCTACTTACTGAGAGCAGGAAGTCATGGAAACTATCCTGTGACCAATATATTTACTTGGTATACCAGTGAAAGAGTAAAAGAGCTGAAGATGATAACCAGAGGTTTTGCACTGTGTTCTATGCCATCTGACCTGCCTTTTGGGTACATAAAGTTTCTTTTTATGTTTGTTTTGGAGATTATGGACAGAAATGTATCTTTTATTACTTAAAATATTTCTGAGCTCATACACAACCTAGAAATTATGCGGTATATTTTAATGTGTTTACACAAAATGGCGAGGTTTTTGTTGCTTATGCTATTTTATCCTTTCTGAATGTAAGTTCCATGGCCCATTAATGCAGTTTTTTAAACCTTTTTTTTTTTAAATTCTGTCAAACAAACCCACAGCTTCTTTGTTTGTTTTTTTTTAAATCTTCTAGATGTCAATATGCCTTGCAGATTGTTGGTACTGTATGAATACCAGATACAAACTATGAATTTCTTACATTGACTGCATATCAGCTAGTGTGAGATAAAGAATACAATCAGACCTTCCGAGCATTGCAAATATAGCTTGTGATGCGAAGAGAGAGTCCAGAATAACTTTGATGCAGGAAGTATTTTGATGCATTATCAAGAGCTTTTTCACAGAATGATAGTTTCCAGAATATTTATGCTGTGCCTTCATCTGTAAGCAACTGTATAAACAATAAATAATCCTTCTCATCAGTGTCACTACATCCTACTGAATAAGTCCCCAGGGCACTATAAGTAAAAGTTATCTTGTAACCATTAATAACAAACAGAAGAAGGATTTCCTTACTGACTTCTATGAAGTTTTTAGTAGTGTTTTGATTTGATTCCACATTTCTAAAAGTGGCAAAATGTTTGCCTGCCTGCCTGCCTGAGATGTTCAAAGGCAAGTGAGTTTGTTAGGTCCACAAATCCCACCAGTGTCTGGAGGACTTCAGATCTTGCCGGGCTGTTTGTTAACATCACTGCAATCTACTGCTCTCCAGGGTACATTTGAAACACTAATTGAATTGCAGCATATCAGGACTGTCCCTAGACATGCCTATTGGTTGAAAACAGGCCAACCTGCTCTTGCTCTAACCAAGGAGTTCTTATTCAGGTTCAGGACAGCTTGGGTGGCTTTAAGCCAGTCCAGGGTATTATAAAATCATAGAATAGTTTGAGTTGAAAGGGACTTTAAACATCATATACTTCCAGCCACACTGCCATGGACCGGGACATCTCCCACTAGACCAGGTTGCTCAGGGCCCCATCCAACCTGGCCTGGAACACTTCCAGGGATGGGGCATTCGCAACTTCTCTGGGCAACCTGTTCCAATGTGTCACCTCTCTCACAGTAATGAATTTCTTCCTAATATCTAACCTAAATCTACCCTCTTTCAGTTTATAGTCATTCCCCCTTGTCTTGTCACTATGTGCCCTTGTAAAAATTCCTTTTTGATATACATAGTATGCCAGTGAAACTCTTAACATAAGAAATGGACCTAATTTCACTTGAAGGAACCTTTTAGATGATGTCAGGGAATGACCCCTCCTTACTAAAAATCCTAGATCAATTTTATTATCACTTTCTTGCCTTCAGTTTAAATCAATCGAATGAAGGGATGGAAACTTGTTTAGTAAGAAAATAAATGTTAATTATAAAGCCATTAGTATGTTTTCTTTTAACTTTTTCATTTGGTCTGCAGATGCTTTCTTGCACTTACCAGTGAAAGAGCTGAGAACTGACCATCTTCTGAGAGCACCTTTTGGCTTCAGGGAAGAGAGTGATACAAGAGGTGAGTGCATTTTTCAAGAATGAATAAGGAGCTCTGGGTTTAAGTCACATTGACCCCCAGGTGCCTAAATTGCTTTGGAAATAGGACTTGAGGACTTGAGGACTTGAGGACTTGAGTCAATGGAAATGGTTGAGGCTCTGCTGCCTCAGGTCTCTTTCAGAGTTTGCCACATTTGTAACAGTGATTAGTGAATTGCACGTTAAACAACTCTGAACTGCCTTAGTTTTGAGAGCCGTATATTTAAATAGACTGAAGTTAGTTGTTTGCTCTGACAAGCCACAGGAGCTTTTCAGCAGTGATCTTGGCAATGGCGATAGCAGCTATCACAAGAAGGGTTATAATCCACCTCTGCAAACAGCACCGCTGGCTCCTGAACTGGCTTCCAGTTACTTTGCAGATCAGTCCTTCTGAAACAGCCTGAGTCTTGTGCAGTTTTTTTGATGTTGAAATTCGACATTTAATAGTGTAAGGGCAGGGAGGCTGTGCCTCCTTCATTCACCAAGAACGGAAGTTCAGAGTGCATGGTGCAGAGACCCATAATAGCAGGATAAGACTCAAATTAAAACTGACCCAATTGGAAAAATTAGTTTGGTGTGGGCTAGTGGACAATGCCGACATTTTGAGACCATCAGTTTGCATGCAACAGGAAGCTGCATGCAATGTGATTAAGGTAGATTAATTTGGGCAAGTGTGCACTGCATTTTGAGCACATCTGGCATGGCAGAGTAACACTCATTGAACCAACCTGAATAACAGATCCTCTGTACATCCATGGGAACTCTTGTTCCCTTCAGTGTAAGTCCTCTTGTGCAGTTTACGTGACAGGACAGGGTTCTGATGTCACAAATGGGTGCTGGGATGCCTCTTCCTGGTGACTACCCTCTCTTATCCCAATCTGTACACCAGCTGAGCTGCAGCCAGTCAGCAAGAACTCTTCACCCCTTTTCCTTTTTCCACCTCTCTTCCCAAGAAAAGAGTCTTCCTTACCCCTAGTGCTATATACAAGAGGCCTACCTTTCGTGCCTCTTCAGCAATAAATACAGAGAAGTGAAATTCAAAATTTCTAGAAGACCAAGTATTTTATGAAACCTATTTGGAAATATTTTTAACCTGTCCTTATTTCCTTACTTATTCCTCCATATGGTTCACTCACTCACTCACTGATGGTGAAGACCCTCATTACTTTGGATGTAAATGCTGGTTTGGCTTTTTAGGATCATGGATGCTGGTGATCTCTGCAAAAGGCTTTCCCTGGTCCTACCTGAGCAGTGACTTTGAGGTGCCATCATTCAATCTCCAGCCCCTGCCCAGCATCATGCTTTGAGCAACACTTTCCCATTGCTGTCACTGGGCCATTGTACTTGTTCTGTTTCTTATTTCTTGGTATGTTTCTCATGATGGAGTATTTTGTTTCCCAGCAGTGGTACATGAAAGAGAAACTCAAAGCTCAACCAAAGGAGAAAACGGAAAAAAACACTCTTGTGTTAATCAGACAAGACAAGTAACTGGAAGAAGAGGTGAGTTGCAGATTTCCACATTCAGAAGACACTGCCTGCCTTGTACCTTTCAAACTTGTTAGTGCCACTGCTGATCCAAGCAATATTTCTGGAAATTCTCGTTAAGATTCTCCTGCCCAAAGTCAATGGACTGCTTATACCATAGAGTACAAGGACTAAATTTACCTTTGAACTGCATATACAAAAAAATGTGACTGAAAAGCTACATCTTCATAAGAGAGCAAAGGAGACAATAAAATAGCTCGTGCAGGACTTAGTCTGATATTAACTCCTTCCATGACCTTTATATCATGAAAATCTGGTACCTCTGAGAGAAAGAACCCTTAATGTTTAATAAATATTTTTAGGAATTATATAATATGAGGCCTGACTTTTCAAGGGCTACAAATATCAGTTGATCCCATTGCCTTTTATTAGCTCTAAAGAAGAATTTCATAGTAGGCTTTTACTTCTAAATTGACAATATTTTTTTAAAAGAAAACAAAGCAAAATATGAACAGAAACACTATAGGTCTAGAAATGTTCTGATTTGTTTGCACAGCAGAAACTTCTTGTTCTTCAGTGGAGGCCCATCTTGGGTTGTTATGCCCTGTGTTTTTGTCATGCTTTGTCTTTCCCTGTTTAAATTAAATCCCAAAGCTACTGTTGGATCGATTTTAGGTAAAGTAGATGTGGCATAAAGCCAGTTTTTCTTGGTTGAGAAAATACTTCCCTCTGTGATAACGTCTTTTAAAAAAAGGCACTATCAATAAAATAATCAATAAAGTAAGAAACATCAAGGTAGAACCAACAGTCATACCAGAGATTTTACTAATGTGTGAGAAACCTACCTGCTTCTCGTAAGATCACCATAACAGACTGAATGTTTTTTGGTTTTAGTTTTATATCAACATAAGCTCTGCTCTCTCTATACAGTATAGCACTCTTTGTACTGAGAAAGTGGAAGTGACATCTATCCAAATAGACTGGCTCAATGAGTCTTGGTTTTGATGACCTTATGCCTTTTTGGTCTTTTGGTTTAACTGGTATGTTTATTGTTGGCTTTGAAGCAGTTAAAGGTAGTCCGAAAGTCTTTTCTTATTTCCTGCTTTTTTTTCCCCTTCCTCTTTCTTCCTTCTCACTATAGAAAAAAAATACTATGTCAAGGAAAAACACTTAGCTTATGGATTTTTTTCTCTTCTATTACTGTTTTTATTACAAAGCAACCCTGAAGACCTTTTAATTCTCTTGACTGTTTAAAGATGCTTCATGAAAACATGACATCTGAGATGTGAAGACAGTGCAAGATTCTGTTTGCCAGGAGTCTACTACAGTAAGATCCTAAGGAATTCAACAAAATGGAAAGAGTCAGTAAGGGTTTAGTGGAATTTGATAGGAGGCCCCATACAAATATCCAGATGAAACTATAGCCAATTATTCTGTGCTGAATATTATGCCTTGATGAAAATAAAATACCTGAGTTTAATCTTTCATTCAGAGTAAAGATTTGTAGTATAATGACCTGATTTAGCTGAAAAAAGGAAAAAATAAGTAAGTCTGACAGCTGAGAACAGAAGGGGGATTAATCTCAAAAGCTGCTAGTCTTTGTTTCCCATCCTTTCATTATTGTTCAATCAGAGCAAAGAAAGGACTAGCTGCCCTGACACAGTTCAAGTTTCATTGCTTGGAGAAAGGGGGAGGTATGGTGGAGAGAGATATTCCATTATTTACAGACAGAGGAACTGAGAAGAAAACAGAGAAATGGAGCCAGTTGATCCACCTTTGGGTCTACCTGGTGCTTTGGGCAGAAACAGACTAACAGTGCCTGCACTCATCAGCAGGTGCAGCAAGGGCAGCTGAAGGTATGTATGACAGGATGGGATGGCACACAAGGTGCAGTAAGCCCCCTGAATGCATCATTATCTCACTTTTCAGTGTTACATTTGACCTCCAGTGCGCACAACAAGAGGAGAAAGGAGATGATGCTGTGACATACATTACAGTGCTATCTGCTCTTCTGATCTCTTTGATGGTGCCTCTTCTTGGCATGTGACATGAACCCAACTCTCATTCCACTTGTGAACATTTACAACCACAGGCTCCACTATGCACCCTAAAGGTCAGTGGTTACTGCAAGTCAGGCAGCTGTGCAGCTACTTGCTTCAGCTGACCAGAATTGCACTTGAAAGTAATACAATTTACCATGTACTTCTTATGCCAGCTGTTTGAATTAATACTTGAGTTACTACATTCTCTTCAATCAGCATGTTAAAGTAGCAAGGGACAGAAAGGCTAGCAAGAAAACTTTCTGCAAGTATGTTGGAAGCGAGAAAAAGTCCGGGGAATAAACTGGATTCACTATTAAAAGAATAATAAAATAAGATGCCAAAAGTTGAGGTTGAGATGGTTGAAAAGTTTAGTGGTTTTCGGTGGTTTTTTGCGTGTGTCAGTCTTCAGTAAAGTGGTCAGCTGTGCTCTTAAATTTAATAAGCTAACCTTAGAAGAAAATAATAAGATAGGAGATAGGTCATTTAATAAGATAGGAGATAGGTCATTTAGAGGGTATTTAGCTCTTGGGTATTTTCAGGAACAAAACAGATTTCATGTCTCAGAAAATTCACTGTGATGTGAAGCCTTACAGAAACAACCTTAGAGCTATTAATGATTATCTTTGATAATTCTTGGAATATGCATGGGCTTCCAGAAGACTGGAAAACAGAAACCATGGCGTCTGCCTTTGAAAAAGAGTGACATGAGGAACTAAAAATGATAGTGTGGTCTGCTTAGCTTTGGTTTCTGGAATAATAGTGGAACAAATGTTCAAAGTATTTTTAAAGACCTGGAAGATGGTGAGGAAATGTGTTAATAAGATTTTCTGTTAAATTTCAGGGTTGTATGATCTGGTTACGAACACTTAGAAAAGCTGCTTCGTTGGACAACTCTGAGCTCTGTTATTAGGATTGTTGATTTTGGCTGGTAATTGCAATCAAAGTTGAATAACTAATAAAAGCAGCAATGGTTCAAAATGACTGCCAATTGTAACTACAACCTACTGGCACCTTCTGCTTTTTTGTGCTCTCTGTGACTGTATTTCACCCATTTCCTCTTCTCATCCAGGATGGGACACTCTGCACTTGCTGCTTGATCCCTTTTCAGGGCGTAAGAGCTGGGATCTTCCAGGGGCCTGTTGCTAGCAGATGCCTCCTGTTACAGGCATTCTGCCCACGTATATGGGTTTTGTCATCTCTTCTCCCAAGAACCTGTCATGTGAGAAATGCCTCTTGTTGAAGGAAACATGAGGTAGCCAACACAGTTGATGAAAAAACTTTCATCATTGTTAAACTGACAGCTGGAAAATTGATTCTCAGTTAACAGTTCTAATTTCTATTGCTGTTTATCTATCTCCTTGAAAATAATTCAGGTTTCTCATTTAATAACTTGAATATATTCTTTTTGCCTATGTGTCATGTACTGGATT